ATATATATAAGTTTAAATTTTTACAAATTTAGCGACCCAAAATTTTTCTAATCCGAAAAGTGTTCAAATACTGGGCCGATCTCAATGATTTTTATTTTAAGCACATAAAAGTGACCCAAATATAAACTGGGGCGCGAGATTTTAGCAAGTTTTGGCTATTTTTCTTTAGCTAATTTAATGTTTATTCTTTTTTTTTTATAAAAATATAGCTGATTAATTAAAAATTACCATTTAAATACAAATTCAGACCTTGTGAAAATATTATGAAAATTCTGAAATTTTTCATAATTTTTTTTAACTATTTAATCAGCATCTGTAGAAATTTAAAATTTTAGTGTAATAAAGTAAGAACTCAAAGTACTTAGTATTTACCGCTGATTTTTAGCAATTTTTTTGACTGTGTTTCGCATTATTTACATAGAAAAAACTTGTCAAACATACTTTGTACAGCAAAAAATTCGTAACAACGTCATTAAAAAACTGCCAAAAAATCAGCAGTAGGTCCTCGCTAGTTCAAATTTGCACCTAATTAAACTAGAATTTAATAGACTACAAAACTGCGTACCATAATTTCTGCTAAAGATGCTTACTAAAAAGTTAACAACTTTGGTGAAATTTTGCAGAAATTTCATAATTTATGCACAAAGTCCGAAACTTGGATTTATATGGTGTTTGTTAAGTAATCAGCTATATTTCATAAAAAATAATAAACATTAAATAAACTAAAGAAAAATAGCCAGAACTCGCTAAAAGGTTGCGTCTCAGTTATATTTGCAACACTGGAAACACGTGTGAGAATAAAAGAGCACGAATTTCCATGGGAAGCAAAACTCTCTGATGAATAATTGTATCGTGGTGCTAATATCTTTTAGTGTTGCTTATTTTTGCTCTCTGACAGGCATATGCAGAGAGTGATATGGACATCAAAATAAAACTACATAGTTTAATTGTTAAAAACTTAAAAAACGAGCGGCTTTATAAATTACTGGCTTTTTCTCGAAATAACATTGTCCTATTTTCATCTGCCTTTTCACAGTTTTACGTGGTTATTTCTCAATATATTGTCCTCCAAATAAGCAAAAGTGCAATAATTTCTACTAATATAGCCATTTTGCAGGACAAAAAGCAACCTAGTGCAAAGGATACAATATAATAAGGCAACATTTTGCAATAGAAAAAAACGTCATAGGTTTGTAATTGATCTATTTTTTATATTAATGTAAGTAATACAAACATGATTTCTGATGTAGAGCTTTAATTAGTCAAGTATGTATAGCGATAGTTTCCTTTGTTAACTAAAAATAAGTTAACGCATTTATTAGTCTTTCAACTTTATTGAAATAAATCATGTTAATTTCAGCTGAAACATTTTAGCCGTTTTTTTGCCAATTTAGCCGGTCGGCCCAAAACGTTCTGGCAACACTGATTAAGATATGTATATGTACATATGCATATGCTGCTACACACAAAATACGCAGACCAATCATTGAGTCGAATTCGTTTGAATGTTAAGACGATTGGTTGATGATGAGCGGTTGCAATGAGGCGTACCCTTATTGGTGACTGCTCGGTTCGTTAGTGATCGAAAATAAATAATACAAAACGAGAGCAACAGGAGGGAACGAAGTAGTAACGGAAGTACGTATGTATGTGCATTACTGTAATTTGTACGTGCCTTAAAATGAATAAGAGAATCTTTATGTAGCTCTCTTCTTATAAGAGAAAATCTATGTAAACATCACACATTAATATGTTAAAGGGCGCTGTTTTGGCAGCAATACGGCAGAAATGCTTCAGATAGTACTTGCAGAGTTCTTGAAGGCAGAAATTAATTTGAATGTATGACCCCTTTCAGACACGTCAAGTCTTGATTTCAAGTCTGCTCATTCGTAGGCGAAGGAGGTGAGACGAATGTACTCTTCCGCTCTCTTCTCACTTCCTTCGCCAACGAACCGAGTGGACTTGAAAGCAAGGGGTCTGAAAGGGGCCTATATATGTAATAGTTGTGTTTTCGTATTCCCCAGCAAAAATTACCCAGTAACTTGCCAGCACTGTTGCCTACTTAGTGCTTTTCGCACTAAATTTAGTGCTTTCCTTTATTCAAAACGTTTAGTGCTTGGTGCGTTTTATGGTGCTTTTCTTTTTAGTTTTAAGACACCAAATCTGTAAATCTTAACAAAAAGGAGGGCAAAACTTTTAGGAATCGTAAGTTTTGTAAGAAATTTCATAAAAATCTAAACAAAATCAAGTCACAATGATAATCATAAGCGAGAGAGCATATGTTTACCAACAAAATATGTGGCAGCACTTTCAATCATGTCAAAATTACATTCGGTAATTCGCCATTGCTTGGACCAGAAATCTCTGTTTACATCTTTAGTTTGGGCTGAATTTGTTACATTTTTTACGATTATTCAAAAAACCCGCATTTCCTGGCAGTAAAATTAATATCTAACGAAGCTTTTGAAAAAAAGAGAATAATCAAAATCGGGTGGGATTTGATAAGTACTTAGACAACTCTTCTGACACAAAAATATTTTTCCCACTGTGCGCCAGTGGGTAATATGCTCAAATAAGACACATTAAATAGGAAAATCAAGCGTTCGGAAAGAAAAGTTATTTATGTTCCTTTAGTTCACAAGATCATAAAAGTCTGCAGTGTAGATTTGAACTACCACGTATTTCATGAAACTTAATTTCTGGTTTTTTCTTTCGGTTGATAGGAATTGTAGAAAAAACTAAGCAAAACGAAGAAAATTATAACATTTAAACAGTTAAGAAAAATTAATCAATTTTGCTTTACCTAAGCGAGACGGCAACGCTGGACACAGCTGCAAATTAGAGAATAAGAGCAAGAATCTTAACGTCGCTTGAACGAAGATATTTGAATTTATAAAAAACAGAATAAATTGATTTTTATTAATTTGAATCGGCATCCTTACAATACAATTTTTCATGTATACAAAGTCTATCAAATACTCCAATAAAAATTTGGTGCTTTTTTCGAGAAAAAACGCGATTTTTCTTGGGTTTTAGTGCTTTTTCAAATTTAAAACTTGACCACACTGCTTACCAGTAACCAAATTTCGGAGAGTAAGCCAATATTTACTCCCAATGAGAGAAATGTGCAAGAAAGTGCGAAAACGCAAAACCAGCAAGAAGCTGCAAGTTTTATAAACAGCTGATTAATTTGTTATTTTCCGACGCAATTTTCTAAGAAAAATAATATTTATCATCTTATTATATATTTAAATAGGTTTGTTTTGTCAATTGCAACTCTTAAAGCACCACAAACAATTATTTTGGTAATGTGAATTGCATTAAGCATCATGCCATCAGCTGTTTTTCTTACTAGCAAATAATTATCTACTAGTAAAAATTTTTCCAGTGAAAATCCAGTAAAACTTGTAAAAGTTCAGCTGTAATTTTTGATCTCTCAATTCTCGTATTTTTGCTGGTTTCTTCCAAGTTTTTGCGTACGAAAACGCCATCCAATAAAAATCAGTTAAATTAGTACTGGATTTTACTGGATAGTGCGTACGCGAACAGGGCTAATGAGATTAATTTCAAAATTGCTGGCAACAGTGTTGGCAGGTTTTTGGCGAGCCTATTCCCTGTTTGTCCATGCAATTCTATATATTTTTACCATTTTTCATTTTAGGTTTTCCCGTTATTTTCCCTTTTTATATAACATCGTTCTTAAAAATGGCATATCAATTTTTCTCCGTGTTTTATTTTTTAGATGATCAATAACCGTATTTTAACAACTCATTCAATAACCAACTTTTAAACTTAACAATTGAGTAATAAAGCAAAATATTGCACATATGTAGGCAAGGGCTTAGCCAGGATCTGATGTAAGGCGGGCCAAAAGGAAATGTACTTGTTAATTTTTTATGATATATTTTTTATTTACTAATTTTTACGCTAACAACGATTTTCAGCAAACTTTTCGATTATTTCCTCCTGAATCAACTCGCGGTTTTCGGTAACGAGTTTTCTATGAACGCTCATGAGGCATAGCCTAGTAGCCTTTTTTCTCTTGTTGTGCTTCTGAGCCAGGTTTCTACTCTACGAAGTGTACTAAACGATAGCTCCTCAGTCGCTGTTGTGCACTCAAAATGGAAATATCTTTATTTATCGCTGTTAGATATTAGTTTTCTTCTTTAAATAGATCTACAACTTAAACATCTTTCAAATCTTCATCGGACAAGTTCTTTTTCTTCCACAAATTGTACCAAAGAATGAGTTGATTTCCCATACCTATATCATAGATCTGTTGAAAAAGCTTCCAGTTCCTTTGTACCTTTTCACTGGAACATTTAATCGAATACAATGGGTGCAATCTAGACAGCGAAAAAGCTGGAGTATTTTCATTGGAAAAGCGTAGTTGTAAAGAGACCGTTAGTGAATCCAGATACGGTATTATTATAGACCATCGCCAGTACCCATATTCATTGAAATATGGGGGTTACTTCAGTTTTTTTTTGTTTACCTGCTTCCTAGATCAGCTGCAATAATACGAGATTTTTTAATTAACTCCGTAGTGACTCCTTCTGCATTCTTTGGATCATTCTTAACCACCTCCAATATATTTTCAATATGCTGATCAACGGCGATGAGGTCTATTGTCTTCATTTGCAAAATGTTTGCTGTATGTTCCAGAAACATTGAATATTTAGCAATTGTCATCAAAGCAATCATGAACATCGGCCTTGTTATAGCAGCACGTAATTGATACGCAGACTTTCTTGCGGAAAAGTTTGCCTGAATTGATAACTTTTCTAAAGCTTTTTCCGACCATCTTGTTTCACACAAACGTGATATATCAGGAGCATAATTCTTGCGTGTCATTGATTCGCGAAAAAAGTTTATCACATCTTTTAGGGTAGAAATAGTACTTCTTATTTCTGGAACCTCGTTTAAGTCATTCACAACAAGATTTAACGGAAGAGGAAGTGTTTTTTCTCGTTGGGTTTTTCCATCCAGTTTATCACAGAATGGTAGGAGAAACTCAAATGGGTGTTTCATTCAATTCCGTACCAATTCAATGCTTAGCGCTGTGCTTACTTCATTGTATCAATGATGAAAAACGCAGGCCTTATGTGGAAATTGAGAGTATAATTCGATTACGCATTACGTATTTTTTATTTATTGATTTTTGAAATTTAATCCTTCCCTTTGTATCTGTAAGGGGGGCAGTTGCCCCCCTTGCCCCTACCTGCCTACGCCCTTGTATGTAGGTAGTCACCCAGTTACATTTGACAAAAAGTAGTACGTGAACAAGTTAAATGGACGGATTTGTAAGTATACAATTTTGAAAGTGCCCAGCGTCGCGGCGGTCCGCGTTCGCAATTATGCACTGGTCTCATTATCAGTGATCGGACTTTTACCACATTGTGGTAGATCTACCACTTTTTTGAGCATCTACCAAATCTACCACTCAAGGTCTGAAATCTACCACATATTCGCGTTTTTGAGTAGTTTTATTTTTGGACGACATAATTTTCTTAATTTTAACCCTTTCGCGGGCAAAGCGGTACACGCCGTCAATTTTTTGTAAAAACATAAGGACATGACGGCGTTCCCCGTCATTAATTATCGCAACTAGTATGACAAGCCGGGAACTCCCGCAGCCAATTTGGTATTAATTTACGTTTTCCTAATATTTGTGTCCCTACGAATTTAAATTAATTCAAATCTTGTCCTTCAGAAAGGAAGTTACATTTACTTTATGCATACTCGAACATGTTTTGATTCATAGAAGCAAGACGGCACATCACGTCAGCTTTCCGTTTATTCTGCGAGTAGCATCCTACGAGAGCGGTTTATTTTTTAGAAGTGCAAAAATTTGTTAATGAACGTAAGTAAAGTAAAAACTCTATGAAAAAGTGTACATAATTGTGTGTTGTGCTTTTGTAGAAAAAATGGACGGATACAATAAACAAAGGGATCGAATATTAAACTTTTTCAAGAACTTGATTCTGACGATGAATCTGAAGTTGATCCTTTTAGCGATGACGGTGAGTACGGAAACGATCCATACTATGTGCCAGATAAGGATCGAGATGCAGGCCAAAGTTCAGACGAAGAATCCGAAAAGAATGATGGACCTCATTGCAGCACAGGAACTGAACATTGTGAAAATGAAATCGTACAGGAAGATATTGATTCATATATCTTTGCCAGTTCTAATGAAAGCTCAGATGATACCTCAGAAGTCGAGCCCAACACTTGTGAGACGGAGTCTGAAGGCGAGTGGTTTGAAAACGCCAAAGAAATACCGCAATTTAATTTTGATGCTAGAAACTGTGGCGTGAAAATTAGCCTCGAAGAAAATTGTACCCCAAGAGATATTTTTGATAAGATATTCACGTCCGACGTAATGCAAAAATTGGATGATTCAACTAATACATATGAGTCAAATCTTTGCGCGGATAATCCCCATACTCGTAATGCACGTTTTACTGATTTTAAACCTACCAACAATGAAGAAATGTATAAGTTCCTGGGTATATGCTTGCTTCAGGGTCAAGTAAAGGCGCCTAAAATTCGCGACCTATTTTCACGCGATCCTTTTTATTACCATCCTGTATTTAGGCACTCAATGACTGGTTGTAGATTTGAACAGCTCATACGTTGCTTGAGTTGCTCCGCGGAAAGTGGCGATGAGACTAAACTAAGAAAAATTCAGCCGTTATTGAATCTTTTTCTTCAAAGTTTCCAAAGTGCCTTATATTCAGGGGATTATCTTTCTTTGGATGAATCGCTTTTACTCTTCAGGGGACGGCTACAGTTCCGCCAGTACATCAAAGGTAAAAAGGCCCAATATGGTATTAAATTGTACGGGCTAACAACAAGCGATGGATATGTTCTAAACATTGAAATCTATCAAGGGGCAGAAGATAATAAACAAAAGTCAAAAGTTGGAAATATTGTCCATCGTCTTATGGCTCCATACCTCAATAAAGGACATCATCTAATTATGGACAACTTTTACAACAGTGTCGAACTCTCGAAAAATCTCCTATCATATAAAACGCATGTCACAGGCACACTACGAGTAAATCGTAAAGGAAATCCCAAGGCTATTACCGGAACTAAACTTTCGAAAGGAGAGTACATATGGCGTCGGCAAGGCCGAGTGTATGTATCGAAATGGCGTGATAAGCGAGAAGTGCTTTGCATAACAACTGGAAATCATCCTCAACATGTTCAAACTACGCGTAAATGGGGACGTACAATCGATAAACCTAATTGTCGTTTATAACGATCACATGGCTGGAATATACAGATTACACCAATGACTTCGTATTACTCTTCACCCCGAAAAACCATCCGCTGGTACAAAAAGGTTATATTTCACCTATTAGATGTAGCCGTTTGGAATTTCTTCTATATTTTTAATATCGTTCGTCGACTTTCGATGCATCTTAATCAGATCCTTGATTCAACTGCCGACAACAATTAAATTTGGAAGTGAGCTTGTGGATAAAGCTGCAGGTCGTGGTGGAAACAAATCAACAATTTCAGCGTCGGATCGCAGCCTTTCTGGAACTACTCATTATATTGAAAAAATTGCAGCAGCAACTGATGATAGAAAAGGAAAGATGTAATCAATGCAAAAAATCGAAGATTCATAAGGAAACTTCGTACAGATGCAAAACTTGCTTGCTTATTTCGAAGATTATCATACATTTGATCCTTAATTTAAATTTATAAATATGCTGTTTTTCTTAACAGCATATAATTTATGGTATTTATCATATTATAGCCTTGCGTTGTTTTATTGCTTTGTGTAATTTTTATTTAATTTTTGTTACTAATTCAATAAATTGAAGTGATTTTAATAAAAATGTAACTAATTTGTTTACAATTACCTACATAGTTCAAATGGGAACTCAGTCGGCATATCCCGCTCTGTCTTTATGAAACACATTTGACACACATGTGGGACAAAACGGTAAAAGCCGCAAAGGCGGGATTTTCCGGTCTGCCCTATGTTAACAAGTTTGAATTAAAAATAAGACATGACGGTTATATCCGCAAAAATAAAGTATTTAAATAATGTCCAAAAATGAATTTAATTGTTGATTTCAATCATTTTGCTACAATCTCGAAGCAATTATCTTCATAAGATCCGAAGATATAGCGAGCGATCCAAAAAAACGTCATGCCGAAAACTATTGTCCGCGAAAGGGTTAAGAGCAAAAATTGTCCAACACTAAACACTATATGGTAACAAGAATGATATAATACAAGATTCTGCATACCCCGCGGCGCTGAAATTTCTCAAGTAAAAGTAAACAAAGCCGAATGGGAGGATAAAATAAACTGTAAATAGTAAAATAAACTGTAATAGTAGTTTCGACAGGAAACGTGGTGTTTTTGTGTTAAATTGCAAAATATATGATAAAAAGAATTAATAGTGAAAATGTTAAAAAACGGCGATTTTTGTGAAAGTATTAGCAAATTTAAGTGCATCTAAAGTTTCTGAGGCGTTGTTTACTTTTACTTGAGAATTGTCAAAATCGGCAAATCCCAAGTAGCGGTTTCTGGAACGTGCCACATTTGTTCGCTACATCGTGATGTGGTAAAAAAAAGCTAGACTATCAAAGAAGAATAATTGCCAAAATTGAATGCAATTTTTAGCAACTTCAAAACTAAATTTTTTTTAGAGTTTAATTTAAAAGTTTGCAATTTAGGTAAAACCCTGCAGAATTTGTTTAATTTTTGTACAAAGTTTGATCCAAAACCTGAGATCTACCACACTTTTTTGAAATCTACCACTTTTTTTTCCAAATTCTACTACACAGAATTTTTTTTTAAGTCCGATCACTGCTCATTATAATCGTTTGAGATAAAGAATAATAATGAAATTACACTAGTTCACTTCTGAAACTGATTTTTAATGTCCAAGTAATGGGAATTATTGCGTATGGTATTATTGCATGCACCCCACCCATGGTGGAATTATACCAGGTGAAGTAATATTAGAGTGAGAAGAAATATGTTGACACTGCTTCATTTGAAAACATGCCTATAAAATGTGACTATAAGACAGCTAGGTGTCAGAAAATAAGGCGAGAAAGCTGTTTTATTACTTCACCTGTTTATTGCGCCATTCATCCCACCTGCTTGTGCCAAGTATACGTTCAAATTTACAAGTTTGAGAGTAGGTAACATTTTACATATTTTTACATCACTAGTTCGCACCACATGTTCGCTTCGTCTTCGTAAACGAAATCCACATTTCGGATATGGCGAAACCAGTGATGATAATGCAGAAATTTTAACTGAAGATAAAACTCAAAACAATATTCTGTGTTATATGCTGCGAACCGGAACGGCGACTTTTGTTTGTTCCATGCCATGGTGGAATTATACCAGGTGAAGCAATTAGAGCAAGAAAAAGATTTTGACACTGCCTTATTTGAAAAATTGCCTTTAAATTTTGACTATATGACTATTGTTTAGGCGCGTCTGCTAACACCAGGCGCCTAAATACATGCTATGTACTGCTGCATGTGCAAAAATTTCCTTTATGCAATTTAGGAAATTTTTGCACATGCACTTCTCAACTGCCATGTAATTGAACTTTCTTAAGTTCTAATTAGATGGCACTTCAAAGTATGCTCGGCCTAGTCTGATGCATCCTCCGGACACTGCTTCCGGAGNATGCTATGTACTGCTGCATGTGCAAAAATTTCCTTTATGCAATTTAGGAAATTTTTGCACATGCACTTCTCAACTGCCATGTAATTGAACTTTCTTAAGTTCTAATTAGATGGCACTTCAAAGTATGCTCGACCTAGTCTGATGCATCCTCCGGACACTGCATCCGGAGCATATTGCGGACTCTGCATGACTTAAAACCATGCAGAGGTGGCAAACGAACTTTGCCATTGGCCACAGTGCCTACCCACCATTTTTGAACCAATAAATATTTTTTTTTTATAAATACATACATGCAAATACTGGTCTCCCCTCTCACTGAGTTATTCAACTATAGGTTTGTACAGTAACTTCTCCAGTAAAACATTGCAGCGAGAGCGTAAAAGCGTAAAAGCAAAATAGTAAAATTAAAATTGAGAAGAAGAGAAAACTAGCAGAAAAAGTTATTGAACACAAAACTAGCAAAAACTTGCAAGGTGAACAGTTATTGTACTGTTTTGACATTCTGCTGTAAACATTTTACTATTTATAAATCAGTTTTAAACTCTTTGCTTTACACACAAGCACTTACAGAGTCCAGTACATCATTCATATTTTGATTTCCACTCATTTTACTTTTGTTTGTGCTAAACCAATCCAACAACGGCTTTTGACATTTATTCTTCTTCTTCTGCTAGCTAATTTCTGCTGGTAAAAATTTCACTGGCAAGAATTTGCAGCTCTCCCGTGTTGTTACGCCCTCGATTCAGCACTCTCTTGCAAATTTTTTGGGTTATCATACACTTTTCCAGTAAAAATTTGGTTACTATACAAACCTTATATTTGACCGTATGACAGAAAATAAAGCGAGAAAGCTATTTTATTACTTCACCTGTTTATTGCGCCATGGTTCCATGCAAACATTTTAAGGTTTTCCAGCAATGTTTTCAACATATTAAAAAGCATGCAGATAAAATTCATACAAAAGCGCCATGTACAATTTGTAGAGCAGTTATTGAAGACGACTCTTTTCGTACTACTTTCTTCATATGAATTATATCAAATTTTTTGTTTAATTGAAGGGGTTAGAATCAAAAGGATCTAAGTAGGTCTGACATTGTTTTGAGATAATAAAGGTTAAAGTTGATTTATTTAAATTCTGGGTAAATGCATGTGAAATGATTCTTGCCTAAATGAATGCGGGCACTACAATAACCCTATATTTTAATATACCAATATGGGTATAACTTATATTTTCAACAAATGTCACTAAGACCCCTCTGATTCTAACCCCTTCAATTGTATTTTTGGAATAAACAAAGTTATTTTTTCTTCTGTCAGTAAACTGTTTTTGTTACAAATAGTAGAAATAAGCAATGGGAAATAAGGCAAAATTTCTTTTATTTCCAACCTTTGTTGGAAATAAAGCAAAACTCAGATTTTGGTTCTATTTCCCATTTAAAAGTGAAATAAAGCAAATTTTACGTTATTGCCGTTTGTGTTATTCTCCAACCTTGGAGAAATTCATAGTTTTCAAGTTGATATCCAACATCATTCTCCAACTCATCTCTAACCGACGTGCAGATACGTAACAAGTAATTTTTAGCGAAAAAAACCGATTTAAAAAAAATGTATATATCTATATATTTAGCGATCCACTGAGCGGATCTAAACCAGAGACACTACCTTTCTGTAGCAAAAAGAATTATCGAAATCGGTTCACGTGGTTCAAAGTTATGCGGTAACATACATAAAAAAAAATATTCCGACGATCTGATAACCTCCTCCTTTTTTGGAAGTTGGTTAAAAAGTGATAGAGAAACGAATTTTTAATTATCAAGTGAAAAACTAAAGCTATATAAAGAGGAAAATTACCAACAAAAAGTAAACAATCTTCAAAGTATCCTCAAATAATCTTGAAAGAAAATAAAAGGCGAAGTGAATCAAGTGGCAAAATGACTGTCAGACTGTATACTGTGAATTGATTTATGATTAACACGATATTGATTAACTACGTAATACAAAAGGAGTAATAAAATTTAAAATTAATATTTAAATTCATATACATATGTATTTCGTTTCAATCAAAAAGTTGTAAGGTATTTTACTATTTCAATTTCAGTATTTCAGTGATATGTGTGGAGAATTTTGGAGTTCAAGTTGAGAACTTGCATTTTCTCAACTTTAGAAATTGTCCTTTTTTCATACAAAGAAAAATGCCCTTTTTGTTGAGAACGCTATGAGCCTCCACTTGAGGTACTGTTGAGAAACAACGTTGGAGATTTGAGAAATACCGTTCTCAACTTAACCTCAAGTTGAGCTCAAACCTAAGTGCTTGTTGGGTGTGCTCCGCCGCAAACGCACATATGTAGCTTTATCTCTGCATTTTTAGCTTGATGTGCTACCGAACCAGGGCCGTCGAGAGAAATCTCGGGCCCGGGACTAAAAAATCACGGCCCCCTCTATATATAAATTGTATTAATTTAAAAGCATATGGCCCAAATCGCCAAAAACGAAACCGAGGGAACAATTTTCTGCTCAGGTTTCGCAGATTTTTGATTATATCTGGGTCATGCATATTCTGAGGTTTCAGACAATATAAATGTTAACACGAAT